TAGAGTTCTTAGAACCAGGTCTATAAGTGAGCACGTAATTGAAATGTGTCAGAAACAAGGACCAACGAGCTTGCCTGGCGGACAAGCGCTTGGCCTCCCCTATGTAGGACAAATTCTTGTGATCCGTCAAAATAGTAACCGGGTATAATGTCCCCTTTAAAGCCATAATGACCGCTAACAGTTCCCTATCACCAATGTCATATCTACTTTCAGGCCCAGATAATTTCTTGGAAAAAACCCCACATGGATGTAACGGTTTATCCAAACCTAGCCTTTGGGACAAGATAGCGCCTATACCTGTCTCCGAGGCGTCAACCTCGAGTAGAAAAGGCAAAGATGTGTCAGGATGAACTAATATCGGTGCTGAGGCAAAATGTTCTTTGAGTGTTTTGAAAGCAGAGAGAGCCTCTGTAGACCAAGTCTTGGTATCAGCACCCTGTCTAGTCATATTGGTAATAGGAGCAATAATAGAAGAGTAACCTTTAATGAAGCGCCTATAATAATTGGAGAATCCGATAAATCTCTGAATGGCCTTGAGTCCCCTGGGCAATGGCCAATCTAAAATCGATTGGAGTTTAATGGGGTCCATCCTAAATCCGTCTCCAGAAATAACGTAGCCAAGAAAGTTTATCTGAGATTGGTCGAAGCTACACTTTTCCAATTTGCAGTACAATCCATGTTGTAACAGTTTGCGCAGTACCCTTCTGACTTGTCTGTGGTGAGTCTCAATCTCTCTAGAGTGTATTAGTATATCATCCAAATATACTATAACGCATTCATGCTGAAATTCCCTAAGAACCTCATTAATAAGGTCCTGGAATACTGCAGGTGCATTGCAAAGCCCGAAGGGCATTACCGTGTATTCATAGTGGCCATAACGGGTATTGAAAGCTGTTTTCCATTCGTCTCCCTGCTGAATTCTCACCAAGTTATAAGCTCCCCTCAAATCTAACTTGGTAAAAATCTTGGAGCCTTTCAGTCGATCAAAGAGCTCAGTAATTAAAGGAATAGGATAAGCATTTCTAACAGTTATCTTATTCAAGCCCCGATAATCAATGCAAGGCCGTAGAGTGCCGTCTTTTTTATCTACAAAAAAGAAACCGGCCCCGGCCGGAGAAGATGATCTCCTAATAAATCCTTTGTCTAGGTTTTCACGTATGTACTCCTCTAGGACTAAGTTTTCCTTAGTGGATAAAGGATATACCGTACCCCTCGGAGGCATAGTACCAGGTAGGAGTCTAATTTTACAGTCGAAAGACCTATGTGGAGGTAAAGTATCAGCCCTCTTTTTGTCAAAGACTGCCTTTAAATCCAGGTACTGCGACGGTATCTGTAAATCTGTAGGTTGGGAAGAGTTAACCGGGGCGTCAACCCTGCAAATCGGTGAGACTTTCTGCAAACATCCTCTCTGGCAACCCTGACCCCAGGAGACTATCTCACCCAGTTCCCAGTCAATGATAGGGTTATGCTTCTTAAGCCAGGGATACCCCAAGACTATAGGAACTGAAGGAGATGAGATCAGCATGAGGGATATTCTTTCCTCGTGAAGGATACCAGTGGTTAACTTAATTGGTATGGTTTCACGAAAAATAACAGGTTCAGATAATGGTCTACCATCTATGGCCTCAACGGCCAAGGGTGTATCCCTTAGCTGAGATGGGATAGAATGGTTAGTGACAAAGGCTTGGTCAATAAAGCTTTCAGCTGCTCCGGAATCTATCAAAGCCATAGCATTAAGTACTCCCTTTTCCCAAGCTAAAGAAACAGGTATCAGAAGCCTATGATCTTTATAATCATATATAGAGGACAAGATAGAAACACCCAAGGCCTGTCCTCTTGAGAAACTTAGGTGCGAGCGTTTCCCGGCCGGTTAGGGCAATTTAGGCGTAGGTGACCTCTAATTCCGCAATACATACAAAGACCCTCCCTTCTCCTGTACTGTCTTTCCTCTTCTGAGAGTCGAGTATTACCTATTTGCATAGGTTCTGGGAGAGCTAAAGTAGTAGAATCAGAAGTCTGAAATGAGGGAGCTAGTCTTATGGAGGATCTGCGGGTTCTATCCCGAATATTCTGCCTCTGTCTCATACGTTCATCTATTCGGGAAATAAATGAAATCAGATCCTCCAAATTTTCAGGAAGATCTCTTGTGGCCACCTCATCTAAAATCTCATCAGATAACCCGTTCATAAATACGTCCATATAAGCCTGTTCATTCCACTTGACTTCTGCCGCCAAGGATCTGAACTCTAAAGCATAATCCACTAGGGTTCGGTTATACTGTCTAAGACGTAACAGTAGTCTAGCTGCATTGGCCTTTCTTCCTGGGGGGTCAAAAGCTCTCCTAAATGCAGCGACAAAAGCATTATAATTATAAACTAACGGGTTATCATTTTCCCACAGGGGGTTAGCCCATCTAAGTGCCTTGTCAATGAGCAAGGTAATTATAAATCCAACCTTTGCCCTGTCAGTAGGGTAGGCGTGGGGTTGTAACTCAAAATGAATACCTATCTGGTTTAAAAAACCTCGACAAGTGTCAGGAGCGCCGCCATAGCGTGACGGGGACGTAACACGGGAAGAAGTAGCCACTGTGGCTACCTCTAGGCCTGTACTTATAGGAGAGATAGATGGGGTACGCATCTCCTCTGAGTGATTACTAGGACGAGATAGCAATGCTTGCAGAGCTAGAGCCATCTGGTCCATTCTATGATCCATGGCCTCAAATCTAGAGTCAGGAGAACCGACCTGAGAGTTTGTACCTGCAGGATCCATTGGCCCTGTCGTAATGTCAGGATCGTGACAGGGATCCAACACGCAGAATACAAACAGGAGATAGGTACGTATACCGGACCTTAGAATGGCCGGACTAACGTAAGGAGAAAGCAAAGAATGGTCAGAGACAGGCCGAGGTCGAGGGAACGAGAGATCAGGTAAGCGAGAGACAAGCCGAGTCAAAAGGACAAGAGAGGAAAGCAGGGTCAAAATACAAGCCGAGTCAGGAACCAAAAGACAATAGAGGTAATTGCACTGAGTGACCAGACTAGCTAGAACCACGACAGGGCAATGAATCATTCCACAGAACCCTTTTTTATACCTTGGCTCTTTAACTGTTGGCTCCGCCCCCAACGGGTCCTGATTGGTTGTTCGGCACTTGGTTGCCGTGATTGACGGGTCGGAACGTGATTGCCGTCATGACGTCGGCTACTGAGCGCCGCGTCATAAAAGGAGGCGGAGCTATCGCGGCCGGCGTGTAAACGACCGGGAGGAGTGCAAGGATCGGGTGAGTCAGCCCCCCTGGGAGGATGGACGTCTAGGTGTCTAACCTCCTCCGAGGTAGACACCAAAGGTAACCTGACACTTACGTAGCCGACTCAGAGATCCATGCCGTCGTACTGCTGCCTCCATTCGGGAGACAAGTTTGTTTAAACACGTGGGTTCGTATATACGAATGTCGGCCACCCAGGGAATGCTTGTTTGTGGTTAACAGCCAGGGCTGGTCAGTGATTACGAGGTGTTAACACGGGGGCCACCCAGTCTGTTAAGTAACAGAACAGAAGGGGAACAATTCCGTTCGAATGCAGGGGAATATCAAACGAAACAAGGTACAAATAAGGGAACACGTACCCTCGACTTATGCATGAGTCATAGCATATTTCACAATTGTTGGTCAAAAAACTGCATTTGACTTATAGACGAGTATATACGGTATATTGGGGGGATGGTAGTCAGTATTTGCAGTATATTGGGGGATGGTAGTCAGTATTTGCAGTATATTCGGGGGATGGTAGTCAGTATTTCAGTATATTGGGGGGGATGGCAGTCAGTATTTGCAGTATATTGGGGGGATGGTAGCATTTGCAGTATATTGGGGGGATGGTAGTCAGTATTTGCAGTATATTGGGGGATGGTAGTCAGTATTTGCAGTATATTGGGGGGATGGTAGTCAGTATATACAGTATTGGGGGATGGGATTAGCAGAGCCCATGGCTGGCACAGCTGTCAGTTTATGCCAATGTGACAGCTGCCATGCTCTGAGGATAGAGAGGGTGCGCATGCGCTCTACATCCAGCCAGGGCACCAGTAACAGGAAACGGAAGTAGTTGCTTAACCCAGCCTTGCTAAGTCGGAAGTAGAAAAACGCACGCGGTGTAAGCGGACAGCACAGCATGCCGGGAATTGTAGTTTATTGTGCTGATAGCTGTCAGTATAATGGGAGCAGATAGCTCTGTGTGCTCTCAGTGACAGAGTGTGAGCTGCTGGGTACAATGTACAGCCAGGCAGTGTCACAACACAGGATGGAGCCTGCTCTGTGTATTACAGACACTGGGGATACAGCCAGCAGGACAGGAACAGCAAAGAGCTGCAGCAGCTGGCTAGGAGTAGTGAGGGCTGGACTACTGATATATGAGGGGTACTGCTGGCTAGGAGTAGTGAGGGTTGGATTACTGATATATGAGGGGTACTGCTGGCTAGGAGTAGTGAGGGCTGGATTACTGATATATGAGGGGTACTGCTGGCTAGGAGTAGTGAGGGTTGGATTACTGATATATGAGGGGTACTGCTGGCTAGGAGTAGTGAGGGTTGGATTACTGATATATGAGGGGTACTGCTGGCTAGGAGTAGTGAGGGCTGGATTACTGATATATGAGGGGTACTGCTGGCTAGGAGTAGTGAGGGTTGGATTACTGATATATGAGGGGTACTGCTGGCTAGGAGTAGTGAGGGCTGGATTACTGATATATGAGGGGTACTGCTGGCTAGGAGTAGTGAGGGTTGGATTACTGATATATGAGGGGTACTGCTGGCTAGGAGTAGTGAGGGTTGGATTACTGATATATGAGGGGTACTGCTGGCTAGGAGTAGTGAGGGTTGGATTACTGATATATGAGGGGTACTGCTGGCTAGGAGTAGTGAGGGCTGGACTACTGATATATGAGGGGTACTGCTGGCTGGGAGTAGTGAGAGATTACTGATATATGAGGGTACTGCTGGCTAGGGAGTAGTGAGGGTTGGATTACTGATATATGAGGGGATACTGCTGGCTAGGAGTAGTGAGGGTTGGATTACTGATATATGAGGGGTACTGCTGGCTAGGAGTAGTGAGGGTTGGATTACTGATATATGAGGGGTACTGCTGGCTAGGAGTAGTGAGGGCTGGACTACTGATATATGAGGGGTACTGCTGGCTAGGAGTAGTGAGAGTTGGATTACTGATATATGAGGGGTACTGCTGGCTAGGAGTAGTGAGGGTTGGATTACTGATATATGAGGGGATACTGCTGGCTAGGAGTAGTGAGGGTTGGATTACTGATATGAGGGGATACTACTGGCTAGGAGTAGTGAGGGTTGGATTACTGATATATGAGGGGATACTGCTGGCTAGGAGTAGTGAGGGTTGGATTATTGATATGAGGGGTACTAGGAGCTCCTTTGGACTACACATCCCATGATGCTCAGTGACCTGTGTTGGCTGAGCAGTGTGTGAATTGTAGTCCAGGCAGTGGGTTGGCCAGTCTTGTCTCTGATCCCCAGCACTGCTAGCATTGCAGCTACGAGCAAAGCATCCCGGGAGTTGTAGTTGTAGCCCAGCCCCCTCACAGCCCCATTCCCGGAAGTGTCGTAAAACCCGAGGCGGAAGGCTGGTCTGGCAGTGCCGGCGGTCTCGCTTTGCGGCCGCGGTGAGAGCGGGAGGCAGGCCGGCCTGGCTGGGTGATGAGGGTCCCGGAGAGCCGGCAGTGACAGTCTCTCAGCATGGCCGACACCCCGTGTGGGAGCGGCCCCCCCGGGCCGGAGGAGGACGAGGGCCCCAAGGGCCACCACCGCCACCATCACCCCCACCATCACCACCACCAGCTCAACGGCCTCATCGGCCCCGACCTGCGGCTCCTCAAGGCCGTGTCCGCCAAGGGCCCCGGGGAGCCGGACACGCGGACTGCAGGGGCCCCCAACGGGCTGGACCGGGGCCCCAGGGAGCCCAGGGGCCCCGAGCCGGCAGACAGCTCCCTCCCCGCCGGCCTGGCCGCCTGCAGCCTCCGGGAGGGCGAGCCGGACATCCGATACGTGCGCTACGAGTCCGAGCTCCAAATGCCGGATATCATGAGACTGATCACCCGAGACCTGTCCGAGCCCTACTCCATATACACCTACAGATACTTCATCCACAACTGGCCCCAGCTCTGCTTCCTGGTAAGACATGGCTACTGGCCGGGGCTGGGGGGCTACTGGCCGGGGCTGAGGGGGGCTACTGGCCGGGGCTGGGGGCTACTGGCCGGGGCTGGGGGGCTACTGGCCGGGCCTGGGGGGGCCAGGGCTACTGGCCGGGCTGGGGGGCTACTGGGGCCTAGTGGCCGGGGCCGGGGCTGGGGGTCATATATATAGACTGCCTATAATGGGCGCGTAGCCAGCGCTGGGGGGGTCATGTATACCAGGGGTAAATTTTATCTTTGCTACAGCCTCATTTTCACTCGTTAGTGACCAGTGGGAATTTTGAGCTATTGTGTGGTAATAATATCATGACCTCAAACAATGGTATTGTGATGTCATAAGACCAGTCTGGGGGCCCTTGTAGTACAGAGAGCTGAAGCATGATGCAACACCTAAATGATAAATGTAGTGTTTATTAGGATGCTAGCAAGTGGGTCAGCATGCGCTTGCTAGGATTTCCTGATTGTAAAAAATGAACCCATGACATGGTAGACATGTCTAGCAGTGTTTGTAGAATTCTAGGGGCCTATAACCATAGTATCCATTCAGTTTTTGTATCCACCTATAGTTGTATGTGTTGATATCATTGGCATTTCTGTTCAACCTCAATGACATTGACTGAGAATGCTTGTCTATCCAACCCCCAGCACACTCGGTCAACCAGTGTTGTCTGATTAAAACACACATTTTTAAAGTGTAACGGATGCTCTCTTTAATTTTGGGAATGTCTACGGTTGGTGGCTTTGTGCAGCAAGCACTGCACAGACTAGAATGCAGCCAACTGACCTCACATTACTGTCAGAGCTCCAAACTAAAAAAAATCTATATTTTAAACATCAAATAGAACAACTTTGATATTATAGAGGTGAATTCTGAGGAAACCAAACACGTCTGATTCTCATGACTCCCCTATGCTACGGTACTCTGTGAAGTTAATGGCTCTATAGTGTATGCTGGAAGACTACAGCTCCCACAATGCATCAAGTGGTATGAGGGCATGCTGGGAGACTACAGCTCCCACAATACAGCAGGTGGTGTGAGGGCGTGCTGGGAGACTGCAGCTCCCACAATACAGCAGGTGGTGTGAGGGCGTGCTGGGAGACTGCAGCTCCCACAATACAGCAGGTGGTGTGAGGGCGTGCTGGGAGACTGCAGCTCCCACAATACAGCAGGTGGTGTGAGGGCGTGCTGGGAGACTGCAGCTCCCACAATACAGCAGGTGGTGTGAGGGCGTGCTGGGAGACTGCAGCTCCCACAATACAGCAGGTGGTGCGGCGTGTACAGGGGCACAAACTCCACATAACAGAGTAGTGCGGCGTGCTGGGAGCCTGCAGCTCCCACAGCCACAGCAGGTAGTGCTGAAGGCGTGCTGAGACTACAGCTCCCTGGCTCTGCTTTGAGCTTAATATGGCTGCTCCTTTTATGGTGTGACTTGTCTCTGGAGCTCTGTTGGTGGTAAGTGCTGATGTCTGGTGCAGCTCCCACACATATAGGGACCTCTTCCTCCTTGCCACAGCATTCAGAAGTGGATCGACAGGAGGGAGACCAGGTATGTGTGTGGGCCGTGGCACACCGAAATGTAGCAGACACCATCTTAAAGGACCACTCTAGGCACCAAGACCACTTCAGCTTAATGAAGTGGTCTAGGTGCCAGGTCCAGCTAGGGTTAACCCATTTTTTTTTATAAACATAGCAGTTTCAGAGAAACTGCTATGTTTATAAATGGTTTAATCCTTCCCCCAAAGCCTCTAGTGGCTGTCTCATTGACAGCCGCTAGAGGCGCTTGCGTGATTCTCACTGTGAAAATCACAGTGAGAGCACGCAAGCGTCCATAGGAAAGCATTGATAATGCTTTCCTATGTGACCGGCTGAATGCGTGCTCAGCTCTTGCCGCGCGTGTGCATTCAGCCGACGGGGAGGAGAGAGGAGGATCGGAGGAGGAGAGCTCCCCGCCTAGCACTGGAAAAAGGTAAGTTGTTTTTTTGTGTGTTTTTTTTTTTTTTTTTTTTCTCCTTTCCAGAGCCGGGCGGGAGGGGGACCCTGAGGGTGGGGGCACCCTCAGGACACTATAGAACGAGTATGTTTTCCTGGCACTATAGTGGTCCTTTAACTTGGGCCCCGCTCATAAGTTGTTGTTTTTTTTTTTGTTTTTTTTTTAACCCCTGCAGTGACATTCCACGTATACGACGACCCCCAAGTTTTTGCCTGGTATCCGAGTTCTCATATTCTATTTTTGTTGCATATCCTATCTCTGCCTAGTTGTGGCTGGGGCAATTGTGTAGTTGAGCTTATTTTTGCTATCGCATTGGTGTTGGCAGTATTTTATTAAACCGCCCACCCATGCTTATTTTTTAGCACTGTAAAAAAAGCTACCTCCACGTCTAGTTTGTGCCAAATCCCAGGTTCTGTGACCGCTACAACGACCAAAATATAATGGAGTCTTCTCAGGCAATCTGGTCTTATTGATTTACAACTGAGAACTGTAGTATCAATAAACCCTTTTGTGATCCATGACTTGCCAGCTGTTTCTCATTAATTAAATAATATGAATGAAAGTGTCAGCTGCTATGACCCAGAATCACATTTAATAAACCATCACTTTCATACTACTTCATAGACTCAGAAAGGAAGTGCTATGGTGTAAATGTTTTATTATATACAATATATGTACTGACATAACATTTCTGGTGTATCTATTTAACGCACGTTGTTACAGATCCTATTAACACACTGTCAATGGGTTCAGTATCCTCAGCAATTAACATCCGTCATTAAATGTGCATTAGACTGCTTAATGCTATTTTGTCCTATATACCTTGAAAATTTAGTGTCAAAGAATAAATTCTAGGAACGCTAGTCCATTAGAAGGTAGACCAGATTTGTTTGCTATTTAATTTGTGAAAGTCACACGATGCAACATTGATTTGGTGCTCCGTAACCTAAAGAATATGCACCCTTTAAACACTCACAAAAGCCACTGTTATTATAAAGGATGCTAAAAAAAATTTGTGCAGAATGTCCTGGGAAATCGGGTTAACCCAGTGAGCATTGGTTTACAGTCGCACTGAGGGGTTAAGGACACATTCCAATCCTCAAGTGGGCCACTGTGACAGGTGAACTGCGTGGTCATGTAATTCTGCCAATTCCAAGACACCATAAGTAGGAGTGAGGTTACAACTGAACTATTGTTATATTACAGCTAAACAGCTGGCCGGGAGCTAGGTCAAAGTTGAAAATATTTTAAAATTTAGAACCAGATAAAGACATAGTACAATAGCGCTGGAATACTTTGGAGAGTCCTTGTTAAAGGAACACTAGTGTTAGGAATACAAACATGTATTCCTAACTCAATAGTGAGGAAGTGGCTGTTTAGGTGGTCAGCCACCTTTTGATGGCAGTAAAGGAGTAGTTCCCTTTTCTCCACCATCGCAATGTTCTCAGCACGGATGGCCCCACATCTATGGTGGAGATCAATCTTGAGCTCAGCCAATCCAATGCCTTTTTTTAAAGTAAAGCATTAGGCGGCTATTGCGCATACACAGCAAAGTGATCTCATCTAGAGGTGTTACTAGGCAGCAATTTAAACACTGCTTTTTGTCTGCAATAGTAGTATGCACTTTGGAAAGCCTGCAGGGATAGGCTATATACATCAGAACCACTACATTGAGCTGTAGTGGTCCTGGTGACTATAGTGTCCTTTTTAAAGGGACCCTATAGTCACCAAAGCAGTTTTGGTGTATAGATCATGCCCCTGCTGTCTCACTGCTCAATTCTCTGCCATTGATGAGTTAATCGCTTTGTTTATGCAGCCCTAGCCACACCTCACTGTACATGATTTACATAGCCTTCCTAAACCCTTCCTGTAAAGTCAGATCTAATGTTTACCCTTCCTTTATTGCAAATTCTTCATTTAAAATGTATCTCCTGCACTGTTAATAGCTTGATAAACACTGTAGGAGCCTTATGTGTATGATTAAATATCACTTTACAGAGCAGCAGATAAGTATTTCTAAAGCAAGGGTTAACATGATTGCAAATGAAACCATTTTTACATGTAGGCAGTGTGTTACAGCTATGGGAGGTGTTACTAGGGCTGCATGAACAGAAACAAAGGTAATTTAACTCTCAAATGGCAGAGAAATCAGCAGTGATATGATCTATACACCAAAACTCCTTCATCAAGCTAAAATTGTTTTGGTGACTATAGTGTCCAATTACTACAGCAGAGATCACACTACAATCGATAATACAGATATAAATGAATGATCGAATAAGGAGCTCACTATGTAAGCCCTATTTCTCACAAGACCAACCACATAAAAGCTAAATTTATCAAAGAGGCACATTATTAAAACCATAATCTTTATTACAAAGATTCCAACTAAAATCATACAATACAAATATAATAGTCCATCACCCCTAAGCAACGTAGACTCCTATATCCAAAAAAAGCTTGTATTAAACTCAATTGAATAAGTTCAACTGTCAACTGGTGAGACACCACAAGAAGATGAGGAGAGTTAAACAAATGTCAAAGAGCCCCTCTTCCAAACCAAATTGCACAGGATACAATATGGCAGAGTTCCCAATTAATTCTCCGCCTCCCCCCTGGCTGTCGGGCGGGCGGTGAGGGAGCAGTGATCTTCCTGCTCAGCTCCCTCCCCGCCCTTGGCCATTTTGTTTTACACAATTTTGGCGGAACCCAAATTGGGAAACGCTGCAATATGGGATATAATATGTAAGTTATTATTCACTTGAGTTGTATATGTAAGAAATGTATATGGTGCAAGGAGGTCCTGGGTGCCACCTTACCTCAAGAGGTTAAACTTGGGGTTTACTTTGCGGTCATTTGGCATCTTGGTCCTTCTCATACCATAACAACTTAATTCCTTTTAAGTTTATATCACTCTTGGACATAAGTAGGTGCTAAATTATTAAAATGTAATTTTGTGCACTGCAAATGTCTTGTTAACTGGAACTTCAGTATTTGACTTTTAAGCATGGGGTTCAGTTATCGTATGTGACCTTTGTCCTGATAGAGGGTTCTAATTTCCAAAGAATTCAGTATTGACTCCGTGAGCCTTCCTAATTGGACTTTTTTTCTCTATTCGCTGGGCATTACATCATCACCTGCTACATGGCAGTACCTGCACTGGGGGCAACTGGACAGATAACTTTTCAACAATAAAGACAAGATCAGCACAAGAACCATAGTGACTTGCAGAAGTTAGGTTGCATGTCTTCTGGCAGTGAATAGACTTTATCCCAAACCTGTGAAAAACTAGGCTCCTTGTGTGCGTTTCACCATCTGGAAATAATACCCAAGCCTAGCCCACAACGAAAACCGCTAGTCCAGCTGGATTTCTGCTGACTGGGATACAATTTTCACTCTCCCAGAACTCAGTACATTTTCCGCAGTCTGTATCCACCAAGATATATCACGGGCTGAGGGAATATGCTCTTCTCACTGAACACTGCCGGGAGGGATGTAGTTGCGGGTTCCAAGTGTCTTGTCTTCTAGGTTGGTAATCTACTTGCTCAACTGCAAAGGAGGAGACTGCTACCTGTGGAATGGATGCTATATTATGTGTTATTTGTACATTTTTTCTTTTTGGCAGCCGTATTGTAGCCTATAGCAAAGTACCTTTTTGCATTGTTAAAGTATTACTATAGGCAAACAGACCACTTCAGCTCAATGATGTGGTCTGGGTGCCAGGTCCCTCTAGGGTTAACCCTGCCTGCTGTAAACATAGCAATTTCACTGAGGGTTAATCCAGCCTCTAGTGGCCCTGAGGGGGGACGGGGACCTAATGACCCTATAGTGCCAGGAAAACGAGTTTGTTTTCCTGGCACTATAGTGCTCCTTTAAGCCCAAGTGATGATTAGTAACCAGTCTATAATTACAGCAAGCTTCCCATGGTTCCTGACAAATATAGGATTTATTGACGTCTGTTTTTTTTAAATCATGAAGTGATTTGTACATATAGATTAAAGGCAACTAGATCTCCTGCAATGTAGACCGTTTTAATTTACCGATGTGCAGTACAGGGTTACTTACTAAAGGGAGAGTTCAAAGTTCATTTTAACTTTAAGGCCAAAGTCGCCTGTGACCAGTGCTGCTGTTTTTACATTGAATTTCGCTTTAAATTCACCTTGTTTTCTAACTAAAGCTGGCTTCATTGAGTCATTTTTACACGGGCACCATAACCACTACAGCTTAACTTAAACATGTGTATCCCAGGAACTTGTTAAAAAGGTTTATTTTAAAACCTCTGTTTCACTTACAGCTGAATTGAGGTTGTGCAGCCATGATCTATTGGAGGGAAGCTGTACAGATAGCACGTCTTGACATGTAGCATTTTTGTAAGACATACCCTTTTACATTATGTAGAAAATGGAACGCCCTGAGTCACGCCAGCAATATAATGGCTTTGGGTGGGGTGTATGTAAGGTAATCAGCTGTGACAGGCCATCAGCAATGCGTTAAACCTCAAAAAGTAAATTATTATTTAACCATCCTGCTCCTGAATAGAAACACGCACTTTGCTGGTGGAAATCTTTCTATTAAACTGAACCAGTCATGCTACAAGATCTGTGAGTGTTTAAGTAATAACTGCCCTCCAGTTCTGATTTTATTATTTAATGTTATTTTAATAGTTTTGTAAGCATATGCCATTGTTAAAATTGTTTAATGGGTCTCAAACAAGTTATCAACTTGCACACACTGTAGGTCCTTTGGTGCCCCCTGGTGTTCCTTCAAAGAACTGGAGCTTTGTTCAATCTCAGTGCCTTTATCTCTGTCCATAATTAGTTATTTATATTCCACAGTGCTGTTTAATAGGTAAACCTTTAATTCAACCAGAACAAGTTTGAAATAAGGGTAAAAATGAGACTGTACACCATAACCTCTTTTGTTTCTTGTATAGGTTATAGTATATGGAAGCCTCTCTGCTCTCAGACTGATGGGCTGTCCAGATATGACTATGATCAGCCTGAGATGCAATCTCATCTACCGACTCCACACACAAATTGTCAGACACTGCGCGATTGATAATAAAGTTAACGGTTTCTGAACTATTAAATTGTGCAAAGACTCCTCTTTAACTGTGCAAACAGATAAACTGGCCCTTTAATATAGTGAATTTCTTACCTGTGGGAAAACCTTAACTTTTTTTTCTTTTTTTGTGGGCAAGTGTAGTTTATCGTGGTTTGTATTTATATTTGAATTTTCCAGAAACCTCTTAAATCATACGTTGCAATACTTGTATTTCAGGCCATGGTGGAAGAAGAGTGCGTAGGTGCCATTGTCTGCAAGTTGGATATGCACAAAAAGATGTTCCGGAGAGGTTATATAGCCATGTTAGCGGTGGATTCCAAATACAGGCGGAAAGGCATTGGTAAGAAAACCGCATTCTGTTTCTTACAGATCTTAAAGGGACATTCTAAGCACCAAAGCAACTTTATCTTAATGACACAGTTTTGCTCTATAGATCATACCTCTGCTTTCTCAATCTCTGCCATTTTAGAGTTAAATGACATTTGCTTCTGTTTATGCAGCCCTAGCCACACCTCCCATGGCTGTGACTGATGCAGCCTGCATGAAAAAAGGTTCCATTTTCAGATGTGACAGCACTGTGTTTACTTTAGAAGTTTTTATCTCCTGCTCTGTTAATTGAACTTTAGTACATGCAGGAGGAGATAAGGAATTCTAAATTAAAACGGCTATGCCAGGGGTTGGCAACCTTCGGCACGCCACATGTTGTAGGGCTATGTGATAAACAATAAAGTTTAAGCACCAGATCTCTCTTTTCAGGACTGTGTAGGTCACATGCACGAGCGGTGGAACAAGAGCTGCATACACAAAAGTGATTTTACAACTAAATGACAGAAAATTGAGCAGTGAAACAACAGGGGCAAGATCTATACACAAACTGCTTTTTATTAAGCTAAAGTTGTTTTGGTACTTAAAGTGTCTCTTTAAGCTAGCTGTTTCGTTTCAGCAGAAAAAAAGTGCTTATGCACATCTCATGCTTTTAAGACCACATATTAAACTAATAACAAATTCATATAATCTACACATGCAAATGTGGTATGTACTCTGTAAGCTTATATTGGATGTTTTCACCTAGATAGTGGAATCCTTCCTTGGAGAACTAGTTTTTTGTAGATTTTATAATTGCACGTTTACTGCAAATCTTGAGTTGTCTGGCGCTGCACAACCTCAGTTTCACCAGATCCCTAATTTTCTCTACTGGATTGAGATCTGTGATGTGAGCCTAGCTGTGGGAGTAAATGGAAGTTTGTTTTATTTTTAGGAGCTAGCTTTAGATGGCACATACCCCCTTCTGCTGGAAGTATCTGTAGCCGTAATGCATGGGTATACTGTGGTATCTAGTTGGTGATAAGGAATATAATGTATGGCCAATAATATCCTCCAGTTAGTCAACGGTTGAACACCTGACCTTAGATGGAATATCCAAGAGTTGAATCACTAAAGCTTATTGGGGCTCTCATTGTACCAAAAGCTTGGCCCCTCAGTCACCGTACAAATAATCTTAAACAGAAAACAATTAGGAAAAAACCCATAAATGGACAGTTTAGATGTGTTGCAAAATCCATTCACTAAAGTGTTTGTGTGTTTCCCATCTAAATTTCAGGTACAAATTTGGTAAAGAAAGCTATTTATGCCATGGTTGAAGGGGATTGTGATGAGGTAAGTCATTTAATTCTAATTTGCTCTATTGTTCCATATTGTTGACATCACCTTTTACTTATGTGAGTGCTTAAACATGCTAGGATATACTGTTAACTGATTAATTTGTGAGGCTGGATAAAAAAGGTAGGTTAACTTTATCTTCATTGGGGGATGACACCTGGCATAGATCGGGTTAAGGGTTACTCCATGCCTCCTAACCACTAAACCCTGCTGTAGTGTTTGACGTGAGGAGTGTCTAGCCCCGTTGCCTTATAATAGATTGTCCTCATACCTGGGTCCGCACTGTCCAGCCGATTTGCTTGTCTGGTGGTGTGCATCCAGCTTATGCAGAGCTGCAGATGCCGATCCCATCACCATTAATTGGCTGAGGAAGTCAGCTGACCACTCTCCGCCAATGAACGACATTCTGTGCAGAGACACATGCACAGAACTAACATTAGCCAGCAAGGAACTCTTGTTCTGGGATTGCTAATGGTGCCCCAATGACGCTGCCAGAAGTGGAGTTACACCTCTGGCAGTAAAGGGGATTAACTCTATATGTGCAGAATTTCATAGCAATACACCACACATACAGACTGCGAGCACCATGACCACTTCAAACACTGCAGTGCTTAGAATAACTCTTTTAAAGAAACCTCCAAATGTTTAGTTTTAAGGGAACAGTCTATAATTAAAGCAGGTAATTGGTTTATGTGGGGAGATTTATCATGCCTAAACTGGTGCTTTTTTAAGGAACATTCTATTGGTTTCCATGGTGATTGCCCTTTATTTAGCACTTTGCCCCAGAATTGCACGTTTGCCTTGGTACATCTCCCCGGTAATGTTTGATACGTTTTAATACGCAGTAACTTGCCTCACTTGGATAGTAAGTGTCTGTCAGGGGGCACTTTAATAGCCACAGTAATATTTTTTATTTTTATTTTTTTTTTTCTCCTATAAATTATCGATTTTAATAGTTTGTTTTGATTTAATACAGGTGGTCCTGGAAACTGAGATTACAAACAAGTCTGCTTTGAAACTTTATGAGAATCTTGGTTTTGTGCGAGATAAGCGCCTGTTCAGATACTATTTAAATGGAGTAGATGCACTGCGTCTTAAACTATGGCTGCGTTGAGAAAGAGAATGTCAAATCAAGGAGCAAATTCCCAGTGGATGCTCGGACAGGACATCCCCTCCATGCAGCTCTTCTGTCAGTATCCCATTGCGTCGCAAATATTTGTTGCACTAAGGCATGGCGCATTTGTCCTAAGAGCAGTGTTTCGAACATCAAGGAGACCTTTTGGTACCAGCAAGATGTGCCAGTGGCTAGCCAAGACATATTCATTAATTCGCAAATCTACTGACTGCGTTAAATAAAAAAAAAAAAAATATATGAACATTTATCAGAGACCTAATGTGAGAACTGCAATTACAGAGATTACAGCAGCCAATGTAAATTGTAAAATTCTATAAATGTACTAACATTTCATACAATCCTTGCCATAGTTTTCTGAGGAAGGACGGGGAGGAAAGCTTACATTTTAGGTTTTAATTTCCAACTTTAAATTTTGCATTCTTGAATATTGTTACCTCGGTGAATAGTAAATGGGAGAGGGGGAATCAAATGTATTTTAGGGTGGTGTGTGTGTGTGTTACAATAAGTAACGGTAATTACAGTCTGCCAGTGCCTGTTTGGGGTCAGTAAAGTTTGTCCTCACCCTCTTGCTAACTGCATGCTTTTCTTCCCAATCGACTTTACTTTTATTTAAATTTTACAGTAAATTATTTCAGATTTCGATAATTTAGACCTTTTTTCCCCCAATAACTTGAGTGGCGATTAAAGGAAACACTCACTTTATATTTTTTTTTCACAAAGTGTAAGCTATTTAGGGAATAAAACAATCATTTAGCTGCTAAAAGGATATAATAACAAAAAAAACCAATACTATAACTTAAATCTATGCTGGTTCTGGATGCACTTTTCTTTACGAATGAGGGGTTTTAAAGGAAAAGAAATATTGTAAATTTGGTATGATTTTATTTAATACTGTTATTGCAAAAATCTCTAGAGAATCCTTTTTTGCCCCTCTTATTTTTTCCCCCTTCATCTTCCCATTTTATAGTCTTTTTAGGGGTTTTCCCCATACAATTTTTACTGAGATATCCGCTTCACTTTATCCTAAACATTCTCTTTTGTCTTTAAAATAAATCTAAACGTTCTATTGTATTACACTGCATCTGCATTTATTTCATGTTAATCTAGAAGAGACTGTTCTTCACTGTAGGATATAAAGTAATATTTTCATTCACAGATCTCACAATTATACTATTTAATATATGTGTATTTTTATTTTTCCAAACAAAGCCAGTATAAATGTTCCTTTCCCCCTCATTTATTCTTCATTATAGCTCAGTTTTTTGGCAGATTTTTTTTTTTTTTAAATGTTTTTTTGTTTAATGATTTATAGCCACCAATATTTTTATGAATCCTATACCTACAGCTAAGTACTGATTTTCAACTTTAAAACTGTACAGGTGTATGATGTATGTCTGTAAATTAACAGGCCTTCTAAGCAGATAGAAATCATTTAAATGAACGAACCCATTCTAAAATATCAGATTTACAGTAATTCTTTATATTTTCCATAATTTGTTTCAATACTTTATCAATATTAAGTTTGAGGAATACATTTGGTGCTTGCTGTTAAATTTTTATTTTTTTTCTGCTTGTTGTGTGTTCAGCGTTTGATCTGTCTCCAACAGAATTTGTACTGTATGTTAGTGTCCTATATAATGAAAATCAAAACAATTTCACCCATTTCTGGAAAGGTAAAATCACTTTTATTGAGATCTCAACTTTTCCATAAACGCAATGTTGGATCAAAACTTAATTGGAATCATTACATTCTAAATGTCACTAAAATGCAAAACAAGATTGTTCTTTAAAAGATCATTTAATATATTTCAGTGTTGAATATATTTGCTTATTAAATGTTGTACTTTTTTTTTTTTTTTTGGTTCCCTCATCTGCCTTCACCCTTTCAGTGCTGAAATAATGAACCATACAACACGATTGCGGTTTTTGCAGCTCTGAACTGGTTACTTTCAAGTACTTCTGCATTCTGCAAAACATTGCATTACTTAGCACTGAAACGCAAAATACAATTTTAATGGGGTTGGTGTGCGTTCTAAAATAAACCTTGTTCTGCTGTGTTTTTGGTGATGTAGATATGGATTTTGTTTAAATTATGTTCTTGGCTGCTGTGCATCTTTGCTTTCGATAAAGAAACACTGACCAATAGAAAGATGTGACCAGTTTCTAAAGCAAGTTGTTTTTTTATAATTTGTGTTTGTTTGTTTTTAATAGCACATGTATGGTACAAATTTAATGTATTAAGTGAATATCTAAGCTGAGTACAGCTCAACTACAAAGAGGTTATTTGTGAAGAGCGGTTGTAGTTTACGGGTGCTGTTGCTAATGGTTGCATCATTTACACCAACTAAATATTCTTACAGATTCCCCAGGATTTCCCCATGACTTCAAAGAGGATTGTTCCCAATCAGGCCAGGTTAGTTTATACTGACAGCAAATACAGACACTTTTATTATTTTTAATTGGAATTCCACACATCCAATCTCCCAAGGAAAATTGTCCCGTTATTGGTCAAATCGATCAGATAGTACATCCAACCCGTGTAGTCAGACCAGCTCTCATAACTTTATCATTGGAATACACACACCTTCTTGATAACGTTTTTTTTTTTGGACTTTGTATAATTTGCAAAGACCCCCAACGGCTGCTGGTGGGCTTTGAGCAGGGACAGGTGAGATTTACTTACCTGATCCTATCCCTCGCAGGTGTCGCCATCTTCTTCCAGCCATCCACAAGAGTGCAGGATCCTCCATAGACACCGTTTATATCTCTGCAGGCAGGTAGATTGACGCTTCTAGACGGCGATCGCTCCGCCCAGTGTCTAGGAGTGTCAGGTGTAGGAAATCTACTGAGACAAAGTATTCCCTACTTTGTCTCAGTATATCTTTTGACAGGGTTAGAATTTCTGTGAGATTTTATCTTTTTCAAATACTCATTTTGCAGGTGGTGGGGGTGACCATGCCGCTTTAATTATGTTTCTGTTTGAAGGTATAGTGTAAACTGGTCTGTTGTGGATTCATATTTTTTTATGTTTTTCTTTTACCACACCAGTGTAAGGATTGTTTTGCTGTACTAAAATTAGTTAAACTGGTATTTTGATGTCTTGAAAACAGCTCTAAAGGGGCACTATAGTCACCAGAACTACAGCTTAATGTAGTTGTTCTGGTGTTTATACCATGTCCCTTCAGGCTGAGCAATGAACATGTTGCCTTTTCAGAGAAAGTATTGGCAGTCAGTCAAAGGGTCTGCATGAAGACGCTGAACGCTCCCAATAGAAATGGCCCCCAAATTAGTGTTTGTGGCAATGTAGCTTCCCCCTTCTGTCACTTACTCGGGTCCAGCGTGATGTCCCTTGGCGCTGGCTCGGCTTCTCCCCTGCTAATGTCAGACGGCGGGGGAGACCTAATGCGCATGTGTGGCAATTGCCTCGCTTGCATAAGGATTTCCCCATAGGGGGAAGCATTATTCAATGCTTTCCTATGGGGATTCCAGTGATGCTGGAAGTCCTCATGCATAGCGTGAGGACATTGTTTAGGCGACCAAAAGTCGCCCATATCCACCTGTTAGTCCCTCTAGGGGCTGTCAGCCACTCGAGGAGTTAACCCTAGCAGGTAATCTTTGCAGTAAAAACTGCAATAATTACATGCTCTGGGTTAAGGGTGATGGTAGTTTGCACCCAGACCACTTCAATGGGCTGAAGTGGTCTGGGTGCCTACAGTGTCACTTTAAGTACGTAAACGTTTGCTCTTCTCAGATACTGATCTAAAAGGAGTTGCCTATTTGGTGAACAAAGTAAGAAATCCTTTTTTAAAATTTATTTAATAAATGTGCTAGAGTGTGGTTTTATATCCAGGAACTATGTGCCTAAATGTCAACTTTTTTTTTTATTTTTTATAAAGACTCTTCCATCGTACAATCTGATCTATGCGCCATTTGGAACCTCATACATCATAACAAAGAATCCAGCTCTCTTTTATACTTGAGGTTGAGGTTCGATACATTTGTGTCTTCTTTTATTAATTTTGCAGAAAGTACAGATTTCAATAGAAATTGACGCTTTTATAAACTAACTTGGTTACACCCCCATGCTTGTCAGTCAAACAACTGGTCCTGTTACTTCCTCAGTGAAGCTAAACTCGAAGCAGCAATTGCCCAGAGCACCTGCCTTACAAAGACTTCTCTATGGGTAGTCTGTGATTGGACAGCCACAGAAAGTCTAAGTGGGATTCGAAGGGGTGATCTTGCAAAGGCAGATCTGCAGGTTTTACAAGTGTTTTTACATATATACCAAATGGAAAAAAAGCATAATTAAATGCATGTTTTTGTTTGGGCTATATCTTCTAAATGGGGATTTTTCATTTTTGTGTTTGGGTAGTCGAGTGTCCCTTTAAATCAACTGTGCCTCCTCTCAGAGGGAATAAAATAAGGGATTGAACCCTTCCTAGCAGATTGAAGTATTCAGCATCCCCTTACTGTGTAGGCAAAGCCTCTCCATCCTTCGAAGGAATGATGCCGTATAATGTGTTTGGTTCTCGCTCTCATGGTGATCGTGAATAGTAACTATTGGTTAAAACGGAAAATCTGATTAAATGCACAATTTAGCACTAAGGCCTCATTATTCAAGTGCAAAATAACCTTATTCTGTGTCATGGACCTCGTTTTAGGCTGGTCGGTAAGGTACAAAATAGTTCAGGTATGTGTTTTCTACATATTGCAGTCTGGATTTCATAACATAAAATTAAAGATTAAAGTTTTAACTCCGCTGTTCAGTCTAATTTGACATTCTATTAATCTATCAAAGTCAACTGAAGTCCCAGCTGCTACAACAGCGCCAACAAAAAGCAGTCTATCTGTTGTAGGAGATACTTGTACCACAAAACGGAACCTTCATGTCCCGTATAACTGTAGAAGATTTAACCCCCTTGATAAGTGGATAAACAAATCGCTTTGTATAATTCTGATTTGTCTTCTGTTATAAAGGAGTTGATTTCTTTCCTTCTATGACCAGGTGACAGTCTCACGGCTAAAGCATGTACCTTAGTCTACCAGTCGATTACACCTTGGACGTAACGCACTCTTGTGAATTATAGTTACGGTGTGACAGATTATCTCCAGTCCAACCATACATTTGATGATTCAAATGTGCCATATATAGCTGGGTTTTTCCTTAAGTTTATCCCAATGCATTTTGTATAAATATTGTGTAGTATTTTAACAGTGACTCCCCTGCCCATGCACAGCTTCAACAGTAGATATCATTTTTATCTTTTTTGTTGTATTGGTGCAGATATATTTAATGTTTTACTTATACCTGGTTTCTATTGGCCTTGTGTGCATTCTCCATTAATTGTTTATATATATATATATATATATATATATATATATATATATATATATATATATTCTCTTTGTGTCTGCACTTCTAGTTCTAGTGGAGCTTATTCTCCCTCACCCGTCAGTGGCTTTCATGGTGCCGGACAAGAGCGATTGAGCATGCTCCGCCATGAACACAGAAATGCTGTTAATAAATTTTTTAAAAGTGCTTGGAACTGTAGTGAACTATAAGTTATTTAACATTGAACATAGCAGAAACATATTGTTATGCATCACCGGCATATCTCAAGTTGGACTTTAATAAGAAGGAATTTGTGGACACAAACTCTAGAAATCATTTTTCTATAACTATCCCAGAGTTCCCAGCCTAACAAACGAGCACAAACCGGCCCCGTGTTTCAGACCTCATTCTGGTCCGGAAGGTGAAGTCTCTCACATACTGCTGCTAGGTGCCAAAAAGATTGTGGTGAGATCAAACACGATAAAACTGCTCACATTAGGCTGTGCTAACATTGAGCAAGTGCCTGTTCCTCTTTAACCCCCTACACCCCGATTTAAAAAAAAAAAATTAAAGAGAAATTGGTTTAATGACTGGTCATCCTCAGCCACTTGTTGAGAACTTATCATTTTGTATGCCTTTATATTTAGCGTTTTTTTTTTTTTTTGGGCACAAAAAAAATAGATAACCGAAAGAAATCTAAGACTTTATGAAACTGTACAAAATAACAAAATTGTAGCCGGTAGCTGATCTTCATTTAATTAGAAAATTCATAAAGAACAGACAAACTCATCTATTACCGAATCTGTCTCATTCTTTTATTTCAACTCCATCAATAAAGACAAATCAGGAAAATAACACTCACTAATACTTTGTTTGTTATCAATATCGGGGAATAATCTCCAATAAATCAATGCTTTTTTCATTATACCCAGTAGATACATATCTCTTCAGCTCCTTTTGTAGTTTCACTCACCTTATAGGTACAATAACTTTGCTCTGGGATAAGTGAATTCTTCATCTGTCTCATTCTCCCCGCAGTTTTTTTTCACAACATCTGAGATCCTCACTCAATTAAAAACACAGGATGGAGACAGTATAAAACCCTGAAACCTCTACAGGTTTAATCACTAACGCGAGGATTGTCAGGAATTTAAAATAAACAGCCAAACCGATATCAGAATTTTTCTAATTTGACTGTTCTGGCCTCGTTAGTTAAATAAAATACTGAATGTTTGCCCTCCCAGGTGACAAGCCAGATTTTCCACCAAAAAGACCTTACCTTACCTTATTACATTGGCAAATAGGGTAGTGTATATGAAGTGACATTTTGCACATACGCTACAATAATGCTATGTGTTCCTGTCAATCTCACCTTTGACCATGTCCATTAGTAATATTTACTTTTATATTGGATGTTACCTATAAGTTATGTAATTATCATAATGAAATAATAAAAATAGCCCATCCACACCTCTTACCTGATTAATTTATGTTAAGACACCCCTGGTGCCTGTGAGGGAAACCGCCGTTTAGTTAAGCTTCGCAATCTCACTATCTCCGTTCGCATAGACTGCTATATACGAACCACCATCAGGGGAAGCGGTAATCTCCCGAATGGGATCCGTAAGCGGTTCCAAACTCCCGAACATAAATCCACGAACCGTTGCTAGCCGCCGAACAAATATATCCACCAAGCGGCTTGCGGCTCCAGCAGTCAGTTTCTAGTCATCGGTAATAAATCCCCCCCAATAACGAGACTACGCTCCGCATTGAGGGTAAAACAAGATCTGGCTTTAATGTGGGCTACCCGCCCATATTTATGCAGGTATCCCACTTGGTGGACACTCCCCTAGGGGACCAAATGGGAGACTGTGATGGCAGATGGACACATGGACATTTCTGACATACAGGCACAAACTTCCCACAATGCAATATGGTTTCCTCCCCTCTGCCCTGGAGATAATTGAGAAGTAATTCAATTATCTCCAGGACAAAGACAAATCGCCATCTTAAGTAAAATACCAGAAAACACACAAAAATACATAATTCCACAACTACCGAACATTTTACATTCGTATCACATATACCCAGATAGCCTGGATCTGAGGGCATATTATTAGCGAGTAGCGCTCAGATCCCATACGCATAGTTCAATCGCTATGGAGTCAAATTTCTTACAGTCTTTCGGTATGCGATTGACTCCATGGGAAGGCTATCTGGGGTAAGTCTCTTCATGTAATTCAAAACTCCCGAACGGCCGGTGTTCGTCGACGGAGAAAGGTGACCTGTTGTTTCAGCGGTGTTCGGCAGAAAAAGTGTCTGTTTTTAGTTCCATGAAATCAATGCCAAACACCGCTGGTCTTTCGTGCAATCTAAAATGGCCACTGCCTCGTGGTCGACATGCGAACGACGACCACCCTGTATTCGGTTTTAATTGAGAAGTGTCTGCGGTTAACCACAACGTTCTAATTGGGATCAAGAGGTTAACCAGCAGCACACTTCTAGTCTGGGTGGCCGTCCGTTCAGTAGATTTATTCGGTAAAAAGTCAATCATACGCATGGGCTATAGAAACAGGCAATTTCCACGAATGGAAGGCAAACCAGATGAATCCACAATTAATAATCATACAGATGGGTCTGTCACAATTTAGTTATACTGAATATCTCCCCAGGTGTATAACTGTGATGAATTGAGAACTTAATAGCAAATTGTAGGCCAGAATATCTTGAAAAATCTTCTTTGGTGACCATTTTAAATCCATAAAATAAAAATCTATATTGCTGACTTTTTATATATATTGGATTATACCAATTACACTTTGTTTTCACAACTTCTTCGATACATTTTAGTGAAATTAATCTACAGAGGACCCTATTGATGTCAATGTGGACTCTGAAGATGAGACCTGTTAATGTTGCCAGTAGATTTTTCCATGTATCCTATGTCCATTAAGTTTCAGCACCAATTATTTGCCATTGACTGGACTCTGTTTTTTATTTGATTAGCATGTTTCTCTTTCTAGAACATATTTCTGTTTCCAAACTACGAGCATTTAATCCAACACGTGTGCAGAATTCCAGAATTGCTGTTTACGCCTTGACTCAATTCAGGAAGATTTACATTTGAATCTTTTCCTTCATTCCAATAAAACTATTGACAACCCACTGAGAACTATTTTTCAACAACAAGCCATGCAGCGAGCCATTTAATTGTTCTACTCTGTGGTTTCCCTTTAGAAGCATGTCATGTTAGACACAATGTATAAATATTGCTAATTCTAAGATGAAGATTTACCCTTTATCAGTAGAATTCTGACAATAGACTTGCTATGATACAGTTTTACTGTCCAACTATAAATTTCACTTTAATTATTAATTTAAGAATAACTGTATTAATTATCTACAGAAATGTTAGAAAGCAGATTTATTTTCCGTAGAATTCTTTAGTTTTCCCCCCCCCTTTATTAGATTAAAAAAATAAATAAACTCAGAAATTTGTTATACAAATGAAAATTTCAGCTTTATTTACTAAACAATCAGTTGTGGTTGGTTGAGAGAGATATAACAGGGGCAGAATCTTCAACTTGGCAAGTTTGGGATATTTCTTTTTGGCCGGAATCATTGCATTTTGTTTGACAAGTCATTGCATAGCATATAACCTCCTTCAGTAATCGCAATCGTAAAACTCATCAAATGTTGGGATTTTTTCAGCTCTTGTCCTGATTAATGCAGGTCTAGGGCGGCTTCTTGCATCTTCCCTAATCCAGCTGTCTAGTGAATCGCTGCTTGAGCTGTCGCTGTAAATAACTCGGTGTATTTCTTGGTCTTTAAACCACATTTCTAACGTATTATTTTTGTTTTTGCAACGACGTGGAACTTTGTTGGTTTCATGCGTACCCCAGGGCCATGAATTTCCTGAGGGAATAAAAAGCTGTTTAAATCATGAAAATAGGTTTTGCTGTAAATTCTCTCCTTTCAATACTTTTTTTTATATATATTTAATCATCTTTACAACATTTAGTACACATGTAAAAATGTTAGTTACATTTAACATATATAAAATGAATATTAAACATTAGTAAAACCCTATAAATGTATATACTAACCCATCATTATTCTGTATCTTAAAGGACAACGAAATGCACTCAGACAACGAAATTACACATCATGTAATTTTTACCCCTCTATGTAAAACTTTGCTATTTTGTAGCAACGTCTTCCTGATTGCCACTATAGGCTTTTCCATCTCCAGAACCGAGAAAGTCAGTCCTGAAATTAAATGTTACTCATAGCAGCATCTGATTGGAGGAGGGCAGCGGACGAGTCTCGGCACTGGAAATGAGGTGAGTAATTCTAATATTAAATGAACTGTTTGTGCTCCAGTACAACTTAATTGAAAAAACTTAAAGGACCACTATAGTGCCAGGAAAACATACTCGTTTTCCTGGCACTATAGTGCCCTGAGGGTGCCCCCACCCTCAGGGACCCCCTCCCGCCGGGCTCTGGAGAGAGGAAGGGGTTAAACACTTACCTTTCTCCAGCGCCGGGCGGGGAGCTGTACTCCTCCTCTCCTCCTTGCTCGCGACGTCATCGGCTGAATGGCATGCGGCAGGAGCCGCGCGCGCATTCAGCCGGTCGCATAGGAAAGCATTTACAATGCTTTCCTATGGACGCTTGCGTGCTCTCACTGTGATTTTCACAGTGAGAAGCACGCAAGCGCCTCTAGCAGCTGTCAATGAGAGGCTCTGGAGGCTGGATTAACCCTCAGTATAAACATAGCAGTTTCTCTGAAACTGCTATGTTTATAAAAAAAAAAGGGTTAATCCTAGAAGGACCTGGCACCCAGACCACTTCATTAAGCTGAAGTGGTCTGGGTGCCTAGAGTGGTCCTTTAAAGGGTTTAAACCGATCTCGAATGGTTTAACCACACAGGTTAATCTCCAGCGGCATCTGGTTTCTCCAAAGCAGTTTGAGAAGCCGAGAATGCCACCAGGCAGGTATATTTTATGAATGGGGAGTTACTGATCGCCCATACACTTCTTTTAAGTTATTTTTATCGGCCAAGGGTGTTAACGGTGGGCACTGTGTTAGAAGAGAACCTGTAGTCGTGAAAAAATGATTGTCATTTATGGCACTATAGGTTCAGTTTAAATATTGTATTTCTGGACTAAGGGTCAAACCAAACTAGAGACACTCCAAAACCCTTGCAACTTGTTATAGAGGATCTGGCAAGGAAAATGTAGGTGCAGGCCCTGAGGTTCAAAATTCCGATTTTAAGATGTTCTGTCATCTATGTGTATTTAATTTCATTGTGATTTGCATGCCGTTAAGAGATATATATGCAAGTTAAATTGAGAATATATTAAAATCTACACTTTAGCATGGCCGGACTGGGGATAGAAAGCAGCCCTGGAAAAAAATATATGCCAGCCCCATAAGTCAATGCGCCATATATTGTCGCATGTAATATGTAAGGCTATGTCTTGCCACCCTAGATGATTGAGTAATATATGTATATATATATATATATATATATTTTTTTTTTTTTTTTTTGCTTTTTCTAATATAAAATATTGGTCCTTTCTTAGTAAAACGTTTAATTATACAGTAAGCATACTCACATGCAGACACAGACAACCACACTGACACACACAAGTTCGTTGATACACAGCCTCATAGACAAACACTCTCACTGATATACATCAGCTCATTGACATAAAAACACAAGCTCACTCACTAGCAGACACACACATACATGCAAGAAAGCAAGCTCACTAGCAGGCGCGCACACACACACACACACACACACACAGCTTAATGTAATGGTTCTGGTGTCTATAGCCTGTCGCTGCAGGCTTTTCAATGTAAACACTGACTTTTCAGAGAAAAGGCAGTGTTTACATTGCTTCAGAGTGACACCTCTAGTGACAGTCATTCAGACGGTCACTAGAGGTGCTTCCTGTGTCAGTGCTGCACAGTGTGCAGCACCTACATTCAGGGCCTCCACGCTCTGGAGACGCTGAAGGTTCCCCATAGAGATACATTGATTCAATGCATCTCTATGAGGAGATGATGCTGATTGGTGTAGTGTTTTGCAGCCAATCCTATGGCAAGCTTGATGATCTCAGCCATAGAGGCAGGGCCAGTCGAGGGGAGACCAGCATGGCTTGGAAAAAAAAAAAGGTGAGTAAAAACACACACACTCATGACAGAGACAGACACATACCATGACGCACACACACCATGACAGAGACACACATACCATGACAGAGACACACATACCATGACAGAGACAGACACACACTGACAGCAAAACACATATTACCTGTGGGCCAGGGGGGTCATGCAGGACAGAGAGCTGGGTGTGATGGCGGCTGCAGAAGAAGCTGGGATGGCGTCCGCTGGAGGAGCTGTTCTGGCGGCCGCTGGAGGAGCTGTTCATATTCCTGCCCCAGTCTCATTCAGAGACAGCACAGCTTCCCCTGCGGCCGCCAGAACAGCTCCTCCAGTGGCCGCCAGCACACCCACATGTCTGCCCGGCCCCAGGTGCCGACGGCCCACCTGGAAATTTCCAGGTAACCCGGTGGGCCAGTCCAGCCCTGCACTTTAGTACATCGTCTGTTTTCAGTTTAGTTCATGATATCATTTAAAGTAAGTCTTTTTGTACCCCTTACAGCAGCCTGACATGCGATGATTGGAGGATGGTCAGTGACCTTTACATATAATTTAGTATGTAGTGATGGCATTACAGGAGAAGCACTATGTACTATGATTACATCAGCTGATCACTAGCTGCCTGGCAAACCCTTCCTCATATTGTGGAGACATAAGGGAAGAAAGTCGGGGACCAAATTCAAGGTTAAACTATTTCAAAAGACATGCCCAGATACTCCTGCCACCATAACAACTTAAATGAAATTACGTTTTTATGGGGGTGTGCGTGTTCCTACAATTTTTTTGTGCCAGCTTATCGCCCGCTGTAACGGTTTTGAATTATGCAAGTCTGAGTTAAAAAGTTCCCTGCTGAAAATCAGATCAAGTACAGCTGGACCAGTGCCTTATGCAAGGTAGCTTATGGAGGACACTATCAACCCTTTTGCCTCCCGTTTGCTCTCTGTAACGTCCTCCTTGGCCTCACACAGTGGTCTACTTTAGCAACTCATACAGCAGGAAATACTCTTGACCTCATCTTCACCAATCTCTGTACCACCTCTAATCTCTCCACTGTTCCATTTCCTTTATCTGACCACCATCTGCTGACCTTTGACATTGACATACCCCATGCCCAAATTTCACCACCCTCAACTCTCCAATCTCACAGAAACCTCCACTGCCTTGATCTCCAGCATTTCTCCACCAAACTCCAAACTCTCCTTTAACACATCTCAAATCTCACTTGCCCTAACTCTGCAACCTTACTCTACAACTTCACTCTCTCCTCTCAACTAGACATCATGGCACCTCCTACATTTAAACGCAGCAAGCGTTCCCAATTACAACCCTGGCACACCAAGCTGACCCAATATCTCCAAAAATGTTCAAGAACTGCTGAACGCTGTTGGAGAAAGTCTCACTCTGCACCTGAGTTCCTCCACTATAAATGTATGCTGCGCTCCTACACTTTGGCTCTTTCCTCTGCAAAAGTAAATCACTTAAATACCCTCATAACCACACTCTCCCATGAACCCAAATAACTATTTCACACTTTTAATGCTTTCCTTCGCCCTGTTGCTCCCCCTATTCCTACCACCCTGTTCACCTCAAACTTTGCAGCTTACTTCACTGAGAATATTTCTACAATCAGGGAAGAGATCTCTAACCTCTTTCTCTCTCCTTCCAATACATCACCCAACCCCACTCCCTCTGCTGTTCTATGCTCACTCGCACCTACCACAACGGAAGAGGTTTCTGCTCTGCTCCGGTCCTCCCTCAAGTGTTGCTACTCTCGTGTCTGTCTCCCTCCAAGTCAACAGCGCCACTATCACCTCTACCTCGCAGGCTCAATGCGTAGGTGTTCTCTTTGACATTGACCTTTCCTTCACCCCTCATGTCAAGTTGATCGCCAAATCCTGCCGCTTCCATCTCAAAAACATAACTCGCATCCGCCCTTATTTAACACCAGGCGCGGCTATGGTGCTGGTTCATGATGTTGTTCTTTCTTGGCTTAACTACTGCAATCCCCTTCTCAGTGGTCTTACGTGTTCCCAGATTGCACTGCTGCAATCTATAATGAATGCGGCGGCAATGGCTCATTTTCCTGCCCACCTGCACCTCCCACACCTTACCCCTCTGTCAGTGCCTGCATTGGCTTCCAGTTAGATATAGGGCTCAATTTAAGATTCCGATGCTTGCTTACAAGTCCCTACATAATGCTGCTCCAACCTACCTATCCTCCCCAACACAAATATGTCCCGTCGATGCCCCTGCGCTCTGCCGAATACCTACGTATAACCTCTGTCCATACTCCCACATCTGATGCTCGCCTCTAAGACTTCTCCAGGGCTGCACCTTTTCTGTGGAACTCCCTTCCTGTCTCCGTTAGACTTTCACTCAGTCTCCACTCACTTCTTCAGGAAAATATATAATTTAAACTGTCAGCGGGTTTTCATCCCCCCTCCCCCCTATGACTCCTCTCCTGAAACTGTCAAAAATAATCTACTAAATTCTCAGTTATTACTTTTCAAGCAACCTATTTCATTACCCCTACTTATACACTTTGTGTCACTATACCCCACTCCCTCTAACATGTAACCTCACTGAGCAGGGCCCTCAATCCCTCTGTTACTGTGTCACTTTTCCCCACTCCCTCTAACATGTAAACTCACTGAGCAGGCCCTCAATCCCTCTGTTACTGTGTCACTATACCCCACTCCCTCTAGCATGTAAGCTCACTGAGCAGGGCCCTCAATCCCTCTGTTACTGTGTCAATATACCCCACTCCCTCTAGCATGTAAGCTCACTGAGCAGGACCCTCAATCCCTCTGTTACTGTGTCACTATACCCCACTCCCTCTAACATGTAAACTCACTGACAGGGCCTCAATCCCTCTGTTACTGTGTCACTATACCCCACTCCCTCTAACATGTAAACTCACTGAGCAGGCCCTCAATCCCTCTGTTACTGTGTCACTATACCCCACTCCCTCTAACATGTAAACTCACTGAGCAGGCCCTCAATCCCTCTGTTACTGTGTCACTATACCCCACTCCCTCTAACATGTAAACTCACTGAGCAGGCCCTCAATCCCTCTGTTACTGTGTCACTATACCCCACTCCCTCTAACATGTAAACTCACTGAGCAGGGCCCTCAATCCCTCTGTTACTGTGTCACTATACCCCACTCCCTCTAACATGTAAACTCACTGAGCAGGCCCTCAATCCCTCTGTTACTGTGTCACTATACCCCACTCCCTCTAACATGTAAACTCACTGAGCAGGGCCCTCAATCCCTCTGTTACTGTGTCACTATACCCCACTCCCTCTAACATGTAAACTCACTGAGCAGGCCCTTAATCCCTCTGTTACTGTGTCACTATACCCCACTCCCTCTAACATGTAAACTCACTGAGCAGGCTCCTCAATCCCTCTGTTACTGTGTCACTATACCCCACTCCCTCTAACATGTAAACTCACTGAGCAGGCCCTCAATCCCTCTGTTACTGTGTCACTATACCCCACTCCCTCTAACATGTAAACTCACTGAGCAGGCCCTCAATCCCTCTGTTACTGTGTCACTATACCCCACTCCCTCTAACATGTAAACTCACTGAGCAGGCCCTCAATCCCTCTGTTACTGTGTCACTATACCCCACTCCCTCTAACATGTAAACTCACTGAGCAGGGCCCTCAATCCCTCTGTTACTGTGTCACTATACCCCACTCCCTCTAACATGTAAACTCACTGAGCAGGCTCTCAATCCCTCTGTTACTGTGTCACTATACCCCACTCCCTCTAACATGTAAACTCACTGAGCAGGCCCTCAATCCCTCTGTTACTGTGTCACTATACCCCACTCCCTCTAACATGTAAACTCACTGAGCAGGCCCTCAATCCCTCTGTTACTGTGCCACTATACCCCACTCCCTCTAACATGTAAACTCACTGAGCAGGCCCTCAATCCCTCTGTTACTGTGTCACTATACCCCACTCCCTCTAACATGTAAACTCACTGAGCAGAGCCCTCAATCCCTCTGTTACTGTGCCACTATACCCCACTCCCTCTAGCATGTAAGCTCACTGAGCAGGACCCTCAATCTCTCTGTTACTGTGTCACTATACCCCACTCCCTCTAGCATGTAAGCTCACTGAGCAGGGCCCTCAATCCCTCTCTTACTCTGCGTCCATTTGTCTGGTTACAATTACGTGTCTGTTAGTCCACCCATTGTACAGCACTATGGAATTTGATGGCGCTATATAAATAATAAAATAATAATAATCAGCCAGTCTGAGCTGTATTTGCACATTATCGGGCTCACTGTGATCTATATTAAAAGTTTCATCATGTTCTACAGAAAGGAAGTCATCGTCTTCATTATTTTTCAGGACATTTTCTCTCATTTTGTGTTTATCGATCTTTGCCTCCCTGTGGACTCTTCTCTTCAACTCTGCCTGTGTCTGCAAATGATTCATCTGCAAAGCCAATGAAAATAAGTGGTGTTCTTAATCCTGAGGGCATATCAATTATGTTCTGGGCATACTGTGAGATAAAACATATATTTTTATAAGTAATCGAGCTTTTAGTGGAAAAAAACTTGTTAAAGCGTTTAATAGAATAGCGATTATTGATCAGAAAAATATAGTTTACTCTAACACAAATAGATGTACTGCATTTTAGGGATGTTAGATAACATATAGTTTATTATCCTATGAAATGACAGTATTTATTCAGTTATGTTATTCTTACAAATATATCCATTGTATTTTGCTGAGGCTAGTGTTTAGTGGGTAAGGAGCTGCTAATATTGAATTATATTGAAAGCTGTTAAGTACATTTTTCCCTACTATTTATCACAGTAGCTCAGTTGTATTTTCTGTATCGATTTACAGAGGTTAAAAACAAAGAAAAATTGTATAATTAATTACAATCACTGAGATTTTTTTTCCCATTGCAGTCCATTTTTGATTGTTGGTGGCCAGTACATCGCCCAAATATATATTGCATTCAGTTTGTTTATTAACTCTATTCTATGCTATTTCCTTACCTCTTCAAACTTACGAAGTTCTCGCATTCGCATATTTTGGAGGTGTTGTCTATTTACTGAAGATCTGTTAGCGGTCTGCACTTTAGATACTATTTCCTGTAGCAAAAGTAATAGTAATGTGTTTTTATATTCTGTAATACCATACAAAAGATAATCTATTCTTCTATTCCTGGTGACAGAATGGAGAGAATACATAACAATTCAGGGCATTTCTAACAAACGACCCAAGTTCCTGACATGCCCAGTTGCTGTCAACAGCTTTTTCCATGTAGTCATTAATTATTTGTGAATCAGTTTGAGCTTTTAGGAAAATAGGAGTTAGGGTAGTGGCTGCCAGTATATCATTGAATTATATGTGCAAGGAACTTTTATACTACATTCAAAATATAGGGGATCATTTACTTCTAATAGTTTCATTTTAAGCATCACGTGGTCTAATTTAGATTTCTATGAGTGTGTAAGCACATTCTGATATTCTAATGTAGCTGATTTCTTAAAAGGGTTTGAGACGATAAGTTTCAAATACTTATAGCCTTTGCATTTATTTTAACAGCTGATCTAAATATTTCTGTAACATTATTCAACTCATCAAATTGCACAAATGAACTATGAATTCCCTCTAAATCTGCAAACAGCAATTGTATACAATTATTTACATTTTTCCAGATGGTAACATTTGCATTTAACCCTTGATTTCCTCTTTTCTTATCTAATAAATTTGAGATCAGATTATATATCTGCATTTACTTTTTAATACATATAAATAATAATTGCAGGAACAAAAAAGACATTACCTAGACTTGTGCATTAGAATTTGGCCAAATTGTAGTTTAGCGGAATTTTGGCCAATCAGCTATTCAGTTGAATTCAGCATTTCCAATTTGCCATATGGATGTATAACGTAGTAAACAGCTAATGCGATGTTTGACAAACAAAAATCTGCACACCAGTCAAGCCATAAGACATCTTTTCTTAAGTTATGTGTGACAAAGTGTCCTTCACCACTTGTGCCTGGAGAGGACTAATTGCCAGCCTCTTGCCGTATGGCTATGGCCCCTGGAAGATTTTGCCCTTTAAATACGTTATTTGGGCATAGTGGATTTTATTAGACTGGTTCTGGCCCTTTAAATGCTCTGACAAAGGATCTGCAGTTTTGCTATGCACATCGGATGCAGAGTGTGATGAAAACCCCTGTTTTATGGGCTTAGTTTGACTGTTTTATCCCCCCCCCCTTCTTAGAACACCAGTTTAAACCCTTAATACCTGTCATATATTCAAGCTCTGTCTGACCCTTTTAACTGTCAGTTTGTTTTCCTCTGAGAAGGAGTTGTTTTTGCTGCATGAGGGCTGTTGCTTTGTGTGCTCATTAAACAGACCTTCTTGACCCTTTCTTGAAGCCTTGGCTCATGCTTGGGGGATGGGATAAGTTTGCAGTGCTGATGGTGTCGGTTGGAGTGCTTGGAGTCCTTGGCGAGCACTAGGAGCATCGATTGGCGGAGGTACTTGGTCGGAGTGCCAGCGGGTCCGTCACATTATGTTTCAAAGCTGTTGTATACAGCAAACACGGACTCAAAGGAATCCATGTTTAAAATGGAATGAGGCAAAAATTTAATTCTTTGTTAAACTAATTTGCATATACCCACCCAGAATCCTTTGCATTAGTAACATCACTGCAAATTTGTGATTTCTGTGGGAAAAGCAAGACTGGTGTGCAGATTTTTGTTTAACATTGTATTAACTAATACATTTAATAAATATTAGAAATAAATTATTTATAAATATATTTTTTTTCTGTTCCTCCCTTTATATCATGTATTTGTGTTGCAGTATAGTGATTGGCCCATTTTCGCTTCCTTTATGGTTTGTTCCAATGTTTACGCTAATATTTTTCCATGGACGTTATTCAGCCAAACCGAACTGTCAAACAAATGAGCGTTTGACATCTCCAACAAAATGTCAGTTTTCTGAAAAATTATTTGGCTAAACCAAACTCTCCTGCTGTCCACAAGTCTATCATTTACAAATATTTCCTGGGCCCTAAAATGCTACCATTTATTAACAAAGATCTGTCTTCTGCAATTATTGGAGGTCCCATTTCTGCAAATCTCTTCGATCCTTGTTCCTCTAAAAGCTCTTACTACAACTCTCCTGGCCAATACTTCTCATAGAGAGAGATGGGTGAAGGTGTTGAGATTTCGTGATTTGTATGAGAGAGATCATACTTTAGGGCTGTATAATTTCAAGTGTATTAATTTGTATGTGTCCATTAAAACTGGTCACTTGCTATTTGTAAGTATTGTGGACTAACATTCTTATCAGGCTCAGCCAACCCCTGGACAAGGTTGTTTGGAGCTATATTCCTCATAAGCTATTTAGCAAGTGGGAGCCTCACTACCCAATACATCTGATATATATATTAACTCCCACCAGCCTCAGCCAGAATCTCACGGAGCATAATAGGAGTTGTAATTCAGTAGGGGCAGGTAACTTCTTACACTCAATTTAAATACATTGTTTCATTAATTATGAGCTGTATTACAAAACAACTGGCAAGGGCATACATTTTATATCCAGGATTTTTGACTTTGCAGAAGAACATTTTATTATAGAAAGAACAGAATTATAATTTTTATAACAAGACACAGAGGCGAGTATTGCATATCCCTTTCTTTACTGTCCACCCAGGGCCGGCGCTTCCTATAAGGCGAACTAGGCAGCCGCCTAGGGCGCCATATAGGAGGGGGCGCCCTGCGCCCCCATCGCCAGCCCTTTAAATTCTGCAGCCGCCTGAGCGCTCTATGGAGAGCGCTCAGGCGGCTGCCGCAGTGCCTCACCTCCCCTGCCCTGCTGTAGCGTGGCCGAGCTCCTTTCCGGTCCGCGACCCGGCGGGACTGACAGGAAGTGCACACTCAGTGTGCACTTCCTGTCAGTCCGGATGGGTCGCGGACCGGAAAAGGAGCTCGGCCACGCTACAGGGCAGGGGAGGTGAGGCAGTGCGGCAGCCGTCTGAGCGCTCTCTATAGAGCGCTCAGGCGGCTGCAGAATTTAAAGGGCCGGCGATGGGGGCGCAGGGCGCCCCCTCCTATATGGCGCCCTAGTTCGCCTTATAGGAAGCGCCGGCCCTGCCTATAGATCAGGGAAGTTAGGCATGGGGGGGGGCAGAGAGAGCCTATAGATC